GCTGACAGAGATAGTGCAGCTCCTATGCGACCAGCCCTGGCCTCTCCCGCTGCGCAGAGACCTCCTCTCACAAGCGCGTGGGGAGATTTTTCACCCTGCCCCAGACAAAGTTGCTCTTTGGGCTTGGCCCGTGAGAGGTTAAACTTAAATGCTACTGGGTTGCCTCCGAGGGTGATCAAGACAATTCAGAACGCGAGGGCTGCCTCGACGCGCTCTGCTTACGATAGGAAATGGAATGTTTTCGAGCAATGGTGCGCATATAAGCACATTGTTCCGTTTCTCTGCTCTGTCGCAGATGGGTTATGTTTTCTGCAAGAACTTTTGGATAAAGTCAGAGCTTTTTCTGCCGTTAAGGTGTATCACGCGGCGATTTCTGCATGTCATGTGGGGATTGACAAATAACACTATGGGTCGACACCCGCTTGTATGCAGGTTTATGAGGGGTGCGTGGCATTTGAACAGGGTGTCAAAACCACTGATTCCGCCGTGGGATCTGTCTGTAGTCCTTAACGCACAGTACACAGTATCTCGTACACCTTTTGAACCTATAGACAGCAGCGATCTGAAGCTCCTTTCCCTAAAGACCGCATTATTACTGGCTCTTTCATCTGCTAAGCGGGTTAGTGAACTTCATGCTTTGTCGATTCATAACTCCTGTATGCAGTTCGCTATGGATTACTCGAGAGTGTCTCTCAAAACTAATCCAGCGTTCGTGCCTAAAGTGAGCGAGTCAGCTCTAGCCTGTAATCAAGTAGATTTATTGGCTTTTCATCCGCCGCCCTTTTCGTCACCAGAAGAAGAGCGGCTTCACTGTTTGTGCCCTGTCCGTGCGTTGCGTTGCTATGTAAACAGAACGAAAGCACTGCGGAAGAGTAATCAGTTATTTGTTTCATGGGCTGATTCTCATAAGGGTAAACCTATTTCTGGTCAGCGCCTGTCCCACTGGGTAGTGGAAGGTATTATATTGGGTTATAAGAGCATGGGTCTTAGTCCTCCGGAGGGGCTGAGGGCTCATAGTACCCGAGGCGTGGCCACCTCGTGGGCGTTGTTTAAGGGCGTTTCAATTCAAGACATTTGTGCGGCGGTGAGCTGGGCATCACCACACACTTTTGTCAGATTTTATAGGCTGGATGTTACAAAGCTGTTGTTAGCTCCTTTCGTCCTAAGTGTGTAAAAAAAAAAAAAACACTCCTACAGAGGACGTTTTTATTTTTTTCACATGTCCCAGTTCTATTCTGTGAATAGTGGAGGGTTTTCATTCTTATGCTATCACTCATCACTGAGTTGGTTGACATGCCTGCTTCAGACAGCATATCTGCAATACGGGAGTTGTCTATATCCCATAGTGAGATCCCGAACGAATGTTTGAAAGAGAAAACACTCGTACAGAGGACGTTTTTATTTTTCATATGTCCCCGTTCTATTCTGTGAATAGTGGAGGGTTTTCATTTTTATGCTATCACACATCACTGAGTTGGTTGACATGCCTGCTTCAGACAGCATATCTGCAATACGGGAGTTGTCTATATCCCATTGTTAGATACCGAACGAATGTTTGAAAGAGAACTTTAGGTTACTCACGTAACCCCGGTTCTCTGATAACATGAGTGAGGTATCTCACCACACTTCCCTACTTGCAGCAGCACGGGGAAGAGATATGCGGAGAATGAGGTAGGGACCGTTATGCAGTGATATATACAGTGGGTACGGAAAGTATTCAGACCCCCTTCAATTTTTCACTCTTTGTTATATTGCAGCCATTTG